CTATAGTATTGCGTGCAACTCTATGTCAGGGGGCTGAAGCCAGAAACCAACATCCAAGGTGATGGTGAAAACTGGAGCTCCTCCAAAGAAACAGAAGTGAGTCTTTCCTCTTCATGTCTCTTCTATACCATTCCAGTGTCAGTCTTCCCAAGGTGGTGGTGGTGAGGGGTCTTCCCACCCAGAACTATGCTGATCCAGTTCAGGTGGGTGTTTCTTACTCAAGTTGATATAATCAGTTAACTATCATATTACCTCTTCACTTCCTTTACACTTTCAACAAGGTATTTGCTGTCTTTTGTTTTCTCTGCTAGACATTGTATGTGTATAGCTAAGTATCTTCTGAAAATGCTTTATTATTAAACATTGCATTTTGCAAAATACTTTTACCATCTATTATCTCATTTAAACCATTCTATAAACTTTCTTTCACAGATGAGTAGGCTGATGTTTGGAGAACTTGTCTTTATGGATTCATCCAAGGTAATAGAACAAAAACTCCTGTGTGTACTGTTCTTTCCTCTAGTGCTGCTGGTATAAAAATCATGATGCTATATGTGACTCCATATTGTCCTCGAGTTACAGGATATCAGAACTGGTATCTCATATGGGTTACAGAATCATAGCAAACATCATTATTGAAATGCAGTACACTGTCCTGGGCATTATTAATGAAATTCCTCAGAAACTCAAAAATGTCTATTTATTAAATTACTATTAGGTTGCAACCATTAAAGCAAATCAGTTCATCTACTACCCCCAAATATCCTTTCAGTTAGGTTAGTTTCATTTCTGCTCTAAAAAATTGAATAATTTAGAGCAGCACAACTAAGTTTTTAAAAGCCCAGTTGTTAGAAAAGCAACAAAAAGGAACATATTCTATTCTGAGCCATTTTGAGATTGTGTTGTCTGGATTAATTGCTATTTAGTTATAGATGAATCAAATGTATAAAAATTGTAAATTTTATCATTTGTGGTTTAAAAGTTGGTACATAAATAGCCAAGATGTTGGTTAATTCATCTAGAATATATACTAAAATGTTTACTTATATCTTTGATTTAAAAAGAAAATGGTGATTTTTTTGGTTAGGTAATGTAAATTCAAATATTAATAATAGCTCCTATTAAGCCAGAAACTCTCATTGTGGGGAATTTATCAGGAACATTTATATTCTACCTAGCATTCCTGTTATCTTCTGAGTCACACTCCTAATCATTATGTACTGTAAAAATGTACTAATAAAAAATAAAAAGTGAAAAATAATGAAATAGCTCTGACCCTATCTACATCACAGATATGAATCCTGTCTTATTCAAGCACTGCATCTTACAGTCAGTAGAAACCTGCTGGGAAAATAAGGTGACAAACAGCATGAAAAATTTGTTTCTGTTTCTCTTTCCCCAGTCCACAACAGAACTTTCTCTGTGTTCTAAATTCTGTCTCCAAGGCAAACAAGACAGAAGTTGGCCACTACAACCAAATTAATCCAGCAGGTAAGGCTCGAATGAACACAGGTACTTCCAATTCCTCTGAGAGCTAATTTACTAAATAATGTAATTTTTCTCATTATCCCTTTTCAAGAAGAAGGAAGACTTGGTTAAAACATTACTTCTGGAAAAATGTGCCTTAAAACTGCAACGAGAGATGAAAGTTAGCTAACCAGCTGTTTTTGTTTAAAAAATAATAAGAAACTAAAACTTTTCAATTTGAAGGGATCTAGACATAGACTAATTTTAATGTGATGGATAGAAACAGGAACAGGGTAAAATGCGTATTTATCTGAGATTGAATAAAGGAGAATGAAAAGTTTTTAAAAATTAACTTTAGGAAGCAGGCTTTTTCTCAGCTTCTGTGGGAGGTGGAGTAAGAATGTAACAGAGGACCCCTTACTTGTATCTTGTCTACATTCTCCTCAATCTGGCACCAGAAGTAACCTCTTCTACCCTAGGAATTTTTATTTTAAACACAATTAAATAAGCAAAATAAAACAATAAAGTCAATCAAAACAAAACAGTTTGATATAGGACTTCAAAACAAGATAACAGGAAATCAACAATAGTTACCATAATGCCGTTGTCTTCACAACAGCTGCCCCTACCTTCAGACATAGTAAAAATCAAACAGGACAGACCAGAACCAATAAAAACAAATGAATACAATAAAGGACTTCAAACCAAGATAATAGTAAATCCAAAATGGCTACAATAGTGTGTCCTATCATCTTCAAAATAGCTGCCCATGCCATTGGATATAATGAAAGCAAGACACAACAGAATAAAACCCAACCCCCCAAAACAATGAAAATGATACAGGACTTCAAAGCAATACAATAGGTAATCAACAATGGGTACTGCCTTCAGAAGTAGATCCCTCGTAGGTGTTACCTTGGATATTGTTATCTTCTAAATAGATGATCAAATTACCAGCTTTAGGCCTGCCAAGTCAGTGAAACACTAAACACTACAAGCATTAAGTTGTATTTTACATCAATAGCTATCATCATACTGTTTCTCTGGATTGGCTGGTTGCCTATAGCAGTGCAGAGAAGAGGGGCTCATTGGCTTGACTCCTTTCCCAGCCCTCGCACTGGAAGGAGCTTGCATCTGGTTCTCCCTCTGCGCATGGTGCCAGCTTGCAGGGAGGGCTTGCTTCGTATTGATTTCTTATTCTCCTCCCCTGAAGTCTGCGAATGGCACTGACTCACGGGAAAAGGCTGGCGCCTGTTTCTCTCCCCAACATCTGAATGGTGCTGGCTCACATGGTGGGCTTGCTTCTTGAAGAGAGAGCTTGCATCTTGAATTCTGTTTATCTGCTAATGAATATGTGAACTGCTTCTAAGATTTAGACATTATGCACTGTGTTAATATAAACATGGGCAAGACACCATGTTACAGTGATAAATGTATACTCTTTAAAATTTCATGCTATTACTTTTACATATTGGACTTCTGTTTTTATTTCAGTACCATAAAGATGTTTGTAACAGTGTTCTGCATACTATTTTTTAGATTAATCCAGACATTTTCCATTTTTGGCTTACCATTTTGTTTTCTACCTCACAAATTTTTTTTCTGCAGTCATTTTTGAGTTATTTTTTTTTCATGAAATCATTTTTCACATTTTTCTTTAGAGAAGGTGGTTAGTGTTTGACTTTTTCAAGTTTTAATTTCTCTCAAATGTCTTGCTGTGTAATTCTATGTAAATTTAACCAAATTGTTTTTTCTTTTTCTTTATTAATAGTATGTGTCTGCAGAGTTAGTACATGTACACATATCTTAATTCTTTTTCACCCCTTCCACCTTTTGACCTAATTCTTGAAAGCCATTTTCACTGGCTGTATAATACCAGAATGACCTAAATTTGCTTTGTATTTTAAACATATACTCATCTTTTTTTTTTTCCCTTGGCTTTTATAATAACAGTTGAAAAGTGAAGTTATTTTTGATGCCCTCCAGTTTACTTTGGTGTATTTTAACACAGATTTCTTTTTATTTATCATAGTTGGAATTCATTGTAATCTTGAATTAATTATTTACATATTTCATGCATTCCAGAAAGTTGTTAGACATATCTCTTTGAATATTGCTTTTGCTTAATTCTCTCTATTATCTCCTAAGAAATCTTATTCTTTTCGTCTTTATCTTTCAAATTTCCACCTCTTTGTCTATGATGCATTCTTTATAATTTATTCAGTTCTTTATTTTAATGTTAATAACTATCTCTAGCAGAGTTTATTTTGTTATTTTATCCATTCATATAAAATTTCAATCCTTATAATTTTTATTTCTTAAAATTCTATTTGGCTATGTTTTAAAACATTCATCATATTATACAGATCTTTTTCATGGTACTTTCAGGACAACTTAATTTCTTCATCCACATTCTATTCACTCATTTTCTGATTCTTTTAGGAGCAAAATTGCTGTTATTTCTGTAGACTTGTGTGTGATGCTTTATTCTCGTTAGTGGTTTTTAATTGTAAACTCATTGATGGAAAATTTGTCATAAAAATTGGGTTTGAGCTGTGTTCCTCCACAGAGAACTTGGTTGACCTTTGCTAGTTACCTGGGGTGGTTATTCAAATCAATGTGAATGATTCTATTGACAGTTTTAGAAAAACATTGAATTTAGTCTGAAGATACATTTGCTTATTTCTAGTTACAAGATTTCTTGCTGACTCCTCAAGGCAGGACTCGTCTAATAAATCTTTTTAGTGAAGAAGTAAACATTTGAATGTCCATATTTAAGAAAGACTTTTTTGTTGAATAGTTAACCTTGAATAGAATCCATTCTATTATTTCCTAGAACTGAACCTAAGAACCCAGGAGAGCAACTCATGATATCAGAGTTTCTGTCCTTCTCTGGGTTTCTATTTATCTTTAATAATTTTTACTTTTGAGAATTTTGCCAATTATAATAATATATTTGCATATAATAAATGCATATATTATATACATACATTATAGCTATATTTTCTTATTTCTACTGTGAAAATTTTACTATCTTATTCCCAATACTGTCAAAAATTTAAAAATTTGCAATAGGCTTTCATATTTCTATACAAATTTTTTTCATTTAACAATATATTTACCCATATTCATTAATGTATATTTTTTACTCTCTTTTTCTGAGTCACTGAATAATATTAAATATTGTGAAAAAGGCACCATTTAGTACATTCCCTACTAATGATTATTTAGATTGCTTTTGGTTTACATTATCAAAAAAATCAATGTACATACACTGGTTTTTTGTATATTTAGGTTAAATCTATAAGGAAGGAATTGTTAGGTGAAAGGATATACTGCTTAAATTTTAATGTTGATTTATTTTTGTTGATTTGTTTTTCAGAATTTGATACTACTAATTGGAGAAAATCAGTGTGCCTGTGTCATCAATGTCTTATCTACATTGATTTTTATGAGCACATTATTGTTAATTTGATTAATATTTAGCTTCTTAACTTTATTTTAGTATTAATCTCTGGGAGATAGAACATATTCCAAAAATATGCATGGAGTACTTTTAATAGACAATTTTCATGCCCGATGAGAAATTGATTTGAAGCAATTTTTTTCATATCCGACCCTGAAACACAATCTATTTGGGGTGATGGCATTGGAGTGCTCATCTGACTGCGAGTGTCCTAACTGTCTGGAAGATGCTCAGAGTGAGTCTGACTGGAATCTCTGTTCCAAAGCAAGAGAAAATAGCTCCTTACATTCAAGATCAAGGAAGAAACCCCTGATGCCTTTTGGCTTACAGACTTGTCCTCCCCAGTGTCACTTCACTAGGCCAGAGAATGACACAGATGACTCAACACCTCCTCCTCCGGAAGAAGAGGGCTCTGTTGGGTTTTCCCAACACAGTTCTCTCAGGCTGAGCCCTGACAACATTCGAAGGAAACTCAAACCATCAAGAGAGCTGACTGTCCAAGATTTGCTGAGAGAGTTTGGGGTCAGTGGAAAACTCCCACCTAACTCCGTGTCTGTGGGTCACTTCAGAGATCACGTGGTTTTGAAGTTCCGACGAGCTCTGTACTACTCTGGACTCTGGGTGTCCCATGTCCAGGGCTACAGATGTGAAAATCACTTTTCAGCTAAATATTTTCAAAACAATCCCGGTAGCCTGCGTCGCCTGGTTCCTTGGCTAAAACGGGAACTAAGAGCTGTCTATGGGGATTATGGCTACACAGTGAAAAATATTCTAGCTGCCATCCTCCATCATATGACTGAATATGATTTGGACAGTGAGTCTTTCATTCACCTTTTGGAACCTTATCTTCTACAGCATACTCACCATTTCCTCCATGAGTTTATCAGTTTTGTTAATTCGCCTTACAACATGAAGATCTATGACCAACGAGCCATTTATGAGTGTCCTTCTCTTTCAGCATGGGAGAAAAAGAAATCTGTTGCTTTAGATCCTATTTTGCCTTTGCTTAAAGACCATGAAACCATGATGTCTCAGCATGATAAAAAGCAGTCTAAAAACAACCAAGGTCAGTGTAAGAAAGAAGTCAGGTCTGAGTCTCACTTGAAACAGTTTCCAAATGGTAACTCTTTTTTGAAAAATTTTGATGTTCCACTAGTCCATCACAAACAAGCAAGCAAAATCCATGTTTGGAGCAAAACTAAACCAGAATCAGGCACAGATTCTCCTGATGATGTGCCTCTAAGCTGGGCTATGCAAAGAGAAAGTAGTCCAGGAATGCTTACTTGCAAAAAGCATATTCAAGAGAAAAATACCGAAGGGATGAGGTTGCAACCCAGTCACATTCAAGATGTAAAGAAGACTGAAACAATGGCACAGGCCTTCAGCTCTCCAGAAATTTCTAATCAGGAACAACTGCAGAAGTTCAATCTAAGAGAAGGAAGGATTTTGCACAGTGGCTCCCAGGCAAATTTCCAGAAAAAACAAATAGAAAATACCAAATCCTCAGATTCCTCACCAAAAGTTTTTCAGAGGCTATCCAGAGAAAGAGCCGTGATAAACTGCAAACCTAGAAAGAGAGATCCTTCTTGCAGTTGCATCTCAGAAAATTCCCTTTCTCCTAACAGAAATGGTAGAAAGCTAAGTTCTTTCAGAAAGAAACCATCAAAGCACAGACCTTCTTCCCGGTTTATTGAAGGTGGTTTGCGTCACAGTAGAAGAACTGAAAGGCAAAGGAGATCCAGTACTCAGAGATCCAAATCCTGGTGTGGACGCAGAAGATCTGAAGGCAGAGAGTCAGTAGGTCAGGAAATAAGTCACGGATGTGGACCCTTAGCCCACAGTGTAGTGTGTGAGTCCCCAAAAGAAGAGAATGTGCATGGCCATGAACCCAGCTATAAGGAGGTCCCGTTCGCCCTGGTTCAATCTCTGAAACTTTCCTCAGCAACTGAGAGGAGGCCCAAATGTCCTTCTAAAGATGACAGTACTTCCCAAACTCAGAGCCCCTGTAACAGTGCCTCCTGCCTAACTATTGGGAAACAAAGATCCCCCAGTAAAGGGGACATGAAGCAAAAAGCCACGTTGCCTAGAGGTAGAAGAACCAGAAGAGTCAGACACCAGAGAAACAAAAGTCAGCATTCAGATATAGAAACCAGAGGGGAATTCAGTGATGATCCTGGAATTCTGGATGACACAGGGCTGAAGAGTGTTTTTTCTGAACGTGCAGCTTTCTGTAGGAGGCGTTGTTCCCAATACCAGAGGTCTTCAGAAATATCATAGAGTTAACAACAAATGAAGAGGAGATCTCATATTAGAAACAGAGGTGCAAGTTGTTTTCAGAGGGAAATTCATTTACTTGGCCACTGAGAATCTTGCAAGTATGAATACAATCTACAAATATGATTAAAAATATTTATCACATCACTTTGTAATTGGAAACAAAAGCCCGATGATTGAACTCAAAGATTCCGTTGGAGACAAATATATATAATTAAATTGTTCATATACGTAAACATTATCTTTGTCTTTTTTTAAGTGAGTGGACTTCTTAAAATATTTTTCTTATCTTTGTTTCTAGATTCAATTATAAAGATTGATAGCCCAAGTTTTCATATAACACAAGTTTATACTAACACCAGGAGAAAAGGTTATTTAACACAAGTTATGCATTGACTGCATTGCTAAATACAGTGTTATTTTTAGAAAATAATAAATATCGAAGTCTCCCGCCTGTGTTTCAGACCTAATGTATTTTCAATGCCTGGAAGATAAGACAGGGTCACTGTTTTAAGGGGATTTCACATTCAGCTGTGAAAATACATGGAAGCAAAAAATAAAAATAAATATGTATAAAATTTTTGACACAACCTTCCCTATCTCTGTGCCCTGAATCCAGAACCTCCACTTTTCCTGCCATATATGTATCTTCATTAGAAGTGGCCATAGTTTTAGATAATTCTGATTTCCCACCAGTACTAGTCCCGGAATGGAGGTTACATTTAAGCCAAGTTAACCACAGCATTTGTCCTTTTGTCACACAATTGATGAGTCCAGTAGTGGTCAACTAATTGTACTTCTCTGGGCATTTTCAAATTAGTTTTTAAAAAAAAGTCATTCTTTCTCCTTGGTGACAAATGATTTGAAGCTTGGATACTAACAGGAGTTATACTCAGAAATTTTAGAAGAAAGTTTCTCATACAAGAGGACCAAACAGAGAAAGAAGAGAAAATAAATTTATAAAGAGAGTGTCTTAGATCTTGAAATAGAGCTCTTGCCCTGTTCTTCATGAGGTTTTATGATTTTAACCCTTCCCTAAGTTCTGTGAATCAATACAACTCCTTTATGTTTCCTTTATTTAATCAGGACTTTTCATTCACTTGATGTCAAGCAGTTTATTAGGCAACGGTGCAATAAAAAATGTGTGGATTAGACAGGGACTAACCGCTATATTGTGGAAAAATTTGAAGGTTTTTCGTACAGTCTGGAAGAGTGAGCAGGAGTTTTCCAAGTGAATTTGCTGGAGGTGTTCATACTTGGCTAGACCCCAAAATGTAGGGAATTTGACTAGATATCTTCTAAGTTCCTAGTTAACTCAAATATTCCAAGATACATGAAAAGGTCTCAGCAATTTGTTAATGAACCAAACATAGAATACCTTTAAATGGTCCCAGAACACGCCCCCTCTCCCCCACAGCCAGTATACTTCAGTTTGTTGGTTGTTCCTGATCCAGATCGGGTTGCTCTTGTCTCTGAGTCCCTGATCTGGTCCTTGTTTGCATAATCGACCTATGACGCACACTGTATAAACCAAACCCCAACTGATTAGTCATTCTGTTTCTGTACTCCTGCTCATCTATCCATTATATGCCCTAGACCACCAGAGATCAAGGCCTGATATTTTGGGAATGATCCTAATCAGTGCCAGTTGGTGTAAATAAATCTGCCTGCAAATCCTGGAAGTCATTTCAGTGTTTCTGCTTGCTGTTGCAAAACAGTGCAAGCTTTCATAGACAGAAAAAGCCCTTAAAATCATTCTAATGACTACACAATAGCAATAACTGCATGGTAATTTTAGTACTTGCAAATCACATATATACAAATTTTATGAGACATCACCTTAATTTATATTTCATAGATAAGGAAGTTTAGTTTTGACATTGCCATCTGGATTGACACCCAGATGCCCCTAACCCTGTGTCAATGGTGGTCAACCACAATTTGACACTGTCTACAGTGTCTTTGTAGTTGTATTTTTCATTCATCTATATTTCATACCCATTCACAACATTATGCTGTGTTACCTTCACCACAAGTGAATAAATTTGGTTTAATTATGCTTGTATTTGCAATGAGGAAATTGAGTTTCAGAGAGATGATACTATAACTAACACCAAAGCTGAGAGCCAAACTGAAGTCTAACTGTACATGCTTTGTGTTTTTATAGCTTATTGTGGTTGACTGAGCTTTTCAAATCCAACTCAGAAACACAGCCCTTAATCACTTCGTCATCTCTGCTATTAACAGCACTTTTGATTTAAAATCCAGAATACTAACATAATCATGGAGGGTGAGATGTTGAGATGTCACTTCTATTTAGTTATAAGGATAAAACCCAGTTCCTCATTCCCAAGTTCACCCTGCGTTATACTTTGGATGCTAATGGGGTTCACCTCAGCCAGCTGGGAGGAAGCAGGTGACTGATTTTCAATACATATGCTTCAGTTCACACAGTAGATTCTCTGGCATGTGGGTCCGGTAGAGGTCTGGGGCAGTTTTTTATCCCTGCCCTTGACTCACTATGCTCAGTAGGCCAATACTCCTTGAAATACATTACAGCTGTCTAATGAAAACGAAGTAAGAAGAAATAAGGAGTCTGAATATCTTGAGTGCCATTATCAGATGTGAATATACAAAGTAGCTTGATACATATATCTTTCTACTGTGCATATCTTAGTGTGCATTTATCAATTCCTGCATAGAGAATTCCTTTCATCTCTTCTTACCAGAACCATTAGAGTGTACTCTGAACTGTCTTCACTGACTCTTAGAACTCTAACTCTCTCCAGATAGTTGTCTACACTGTTACTCAATTCTAATACACAATTTTTTTCATATAATTTCTCTGCCAAAAATCACTGGTTCCTGATAAAATCCAAATAGGTTATTCTTCCGTAGAATAGAAGGGCCCTATAGCCTTTACCCATTCCTGTATTGTTTGGTAGTGAAAAACAAACCACACAGACGTGTATCACTCACTAGTGACAGCGTAAATAATTTCCAGAAATGAGCTGGAGTTGAGCAAGTGGCAAAAGGGTCCCAAGGAGAGATTCTAAGTAAGGTTATGGTCTGGATTTTCTGAGTTTGTTTCATCCCCAGCCTTCATGCCCCCTTGCAAATTCCTTGTCCTTCCCCAGTCTGGCACCTTCTATCCTCACAGTCACTTCTTGAGGCACAAGCCCCAAGTTGGTGACTTTGTGGATCCAATTAGGCTTCAATGAAATTCATTTGCATTACAGTTTTGACCTCTATTATATGCTCTGCATGCCACACTGGTTCAATTACTGCCTTACAAATTAAAAAATGTCCCCTCCAGACTGGAGGGCAGAAGCTCAGAGTGGCTCACAGTTAGGTGGAAAGAAGCCCCATTACCCCCAACTGCACTTCAACTCCTAAGAAAAGAAAGCTCTAGAACTCATAGCACTTGTCATCTCTGGGAGCTGCCTGCTTTTCCTTCTTGAGGGAGTACGAGCTTTCTTATAAAAGTGTGCTGTTTGTTCCTTTTGCTTTCTGATTCTGAATCCCTTTTGTTGACCTCTCTAGAAAATCAGGGAGGATCCTTGGAGCCTAGGCCATTACACACCACAGCCCAGCCCAGGGTGACCGTGGACTTTTCAGTCACACCAGGATGTAAATATATAAACTTAGCATAATCCTTGCATAGATTATCTCTCCTCAATAGAGTACACTGTAATTTTCCTATCTTAGACAAGTACATTCCCTAACAGTGCTTATTCAAGTGTCTTCCATAGATACACATACTTCCTCTAGTTGCTCTGGTATTATTAAAGTGTGTGCTCTCATAAATTAACTTCTCTGCAACGCAGTTTTCAACTTAGGTAAACAAACTATTTGAATCACTGACCTGATGTCCTGTAATCAATGTCAGTACTTTGTGTCTGCACCCACTCCATGCTCCTCCAGTGCCAGAGGCTTTGACAGGACTAATCTGTCACTTTTTGCGTGTACTTTATCACATTTCTGGGGTCTAGGTGGATTGTAAACTGTTACCTGGCCTATAATATAATTAGATTTTATCAGAACTCTACCAGAGAATCTATAGATTTCCTTCAACTTGTAACAGTCTATGAATCTTTGATTTTTAAAATTTACTTGTTATTTACATGCAAAATTTATTGAGCCACTAGAAATATTGTGTAATTAAGTACTGAAATTGAATTTTGTTACATTTTGAGATGATCCAAAGTAAGATTAGAGGACATTGTTTGGAAGTACTGTCATGTAACTTTATCTCACTGATGTGCAATTCATTGATATGAACTATAAAGTATCTGAACACAAGTAGCTTCAACAATTTCAGTAATATTCTAATTATAAAGTAACCTAGAAGGTTTACTGATTACTTTCATTTTAAGCTTCATAATAAATATAAATATTCAATATATCACAAGAACATTTTGAACTAATACACAAGAACATTTTGAAATGTGAAGATTCTTCATATATGCTTATTATTTATCAGAAACTCAGAAGAATATGATATAAAGGGAACACAAACAGGACCAGATGCAAGGACCTTCACAATGAGCTGCATCCTGGCCCTTTTTTTATTTTGATGAAACAGGGAAAAGGCATGTGACTAAATCACTGTTCCCCAAACTGGGTTTGAATGTGTGATCCTCCTCCCTCATCTGGCATTATAGGTGTGTGGGAGCGCTGGCATTACAGACATGTGCCACCACACCCATCTCCACACTGACTTCCTAGCCTGAGAACTTCTTTGCTTTGCTCCTGTTTAGAGAACACCTACTTTTAGAATTCATTCAAGGGACACCTTGGTCTGAAAGTTTACTTGGTCTTTTCTCAACTGTCAAGCTGCGAGAAGTGAGCAATCACTTTTTTTGTTCCCTCCAGGTTTTCCTGTAAGAAACCAATTTTGCTACTTTTATCTTACACTACTCAGCCTGCTTCTCAGTCTCCTGCCTCAGTGAGCTTCTTTAAGGGAAGGACCAGCTTGGCACATGGTGCTTAGTAATCACAGGATAAGTAAATGAATAAAGAATGCAGAGAA